CAGTGTCTGAACCCGGACGGACGACCATCATTCAGTGACGCAAATAACCAAATTAAGTGTTTCGCTGCGGGCAAATTGGCACAAAGAAAATTAATTTTGAAGCTCCTAAAACTCACTCTTTTGTTGCGGAGTTTTTCCAGGTAACTCTTGGTCACAATCACCGGTGTTGATTGGATGCGAGTGAATGGATCATCCTCACGAGAGAGAGCCGCCTCTTGAGACTCCTTTATGATAGCCTCTTCCGCCTGCTTTACACTTAACTCACGATTACGCTGATTAATTGAAGTGATTGATTTGAAACCGATAGTTCTTTTCCGTTCAATCTTTTCTGCCTGGGTTTCCAGCTCATCCAGTTCGAGATTGACACGGCGTACGGTTTCTGTGTCGCCTTCTTCATCGGCGAGCTCGCGTTGCTTTAATAGTTCCGCTTTGCGCAGGGCAAAGTTAGTTGGTGCTTTTTGGAATCGCCTTTTCGACTGAATTATCTAAAGAGTGACAGACAAAGAAAAACAGAAGTTAACACAAATGGAAAGCGTAAACACGCGGCGGTGGAAGTCTTATATGCTCATTATATTATCCATGATGAGACATTACACAAAAAGCCAGTAAAACGAGCGATGGCGATGAAATTCGGTCAGTATACCAACGCGATTGAAAAAAGGAAATACTGACAAGATTTGGGGGGACATTAAGGAAAAAGGGCCGTTACCAGGGACGGTAGGAATCTGTTGAATTAAGTCAGTTAGAAGGAGAATTTAATAAAAAAACAATGTTAACTACTTTATGGTCCGCGAAACGCGATGAAAATTAGCGAAGATGACTATTTCGCATGCAATGGCTGGAAAAGCGTCTGAAATAAAATAGCAACGTGTCCCCCCACAAGCAAAAAGAGTGTCTAAGAGTTACTGTTAGATGCCTTATAAGTAATCGAAACTTTTAACAGCGGCAGTCCTATCGACAAAGCCAAAGGTGACTGGAGCAGAAATGTCTGACTTATTCCCAGTCACTAGGCATTCAGATACCAAAAACACGATTATAGTCCTGTGCTATGTGGCCGACTTCGCGGGCGCTAGACTGCAACTCTAAAGCAAAAACGCAGTTGTCCTTGCTTCTTTTCGCAATCCGGACGGGTCGACGAAACCCATATTCACGCGAATGGCCACAGTCAAAGACCCTTCTATTGAAGTGAATTCGAAAAATGCATAATTCATTAAGGTTTTTGCGCTTAATTTGCACATTAAAAAGATTTATAGGAACTCCGAAACTGGTCAGGCCTTTAAAAATGAAGTATTTTTGTGCCGAGGGCAATAAATAAGATTTCTCATAAACAAGCAATATACTAACTGAAGGTAAGTGCGAACTGCTTATTCAACGCATAATTTTGGTAAGTTGTTTGACCACTATATATTCATGGCCTCAGCGACTGACCGTCACGTCCGATGGGCTAAATTTGACGACATGCCACTTAGCAGGCTTTGGGAAGTTTCTATGTTTTGGTGAATTATTGAGCGCACCCGATCTGATTCCGAAACGTGGTTTGTATAAATGATCTCTTTGTGATGATCAAATTTAGTCGCATAAAACTGCAAAAGACGATAGCAAGCTCTTGTCAGGTAAACTTAAATTATTCAGAATAGTTGTGCGGAGCAACGAGTGAACAGGTGTGGATAAATTTAGGGGAGTGCACAGTGAGATACCGCGATGGTTCTAGAAATCAGTGATAATAGAAAAGAGCATTCAGGGAACTCACCTGTTCGAAAACACGTTCATCGCTGATGATGGTGTTGATGGCTTTTTGAATTTCAGCATGCTTCTTGTTAACATACGCGAGAGTAGGGGGACGAAGACCGGCCTCATTTGTGTGTCGGAGCCAGCTCTCAAATTCGGCGGGCAAAAATTCTCCATTAGAGACAAAGGCCAGTCGGAAGGTGTGCTGATCCTTCCCAACCCGAAGAACGATTCCTTTGTTTGTCCTTAAATGAAGAGAGTTCAGATAGGTCTGAGTAAAGTATGGCAGGCTAACACCTCCAACCATCCTGGAAGTTCATATTTAGAGTACTAGTACGAATCAGTCTCCATAAGAAAGTGGAAATATTTGCAATGACAGAATGACATTACCGACGAAGACAAGGGAGACTTGGCCTATTAGCCGTCATTAGCCAGCCATAGCCAACTCTAGGTGGTTCGCCACCGAAGGCTCGAACCCACGACCTGTTGGTTACGAGTCCAACGCTCCAGGCGAAGGCTCGTTGTCTCACTGGTTTTTGACCGGGAATATGAACAATTGCTGAACAGGCGAGTTTCAGAAAGCAGTTCAGAAGGAGAAGACGCGATCACTGGAACAAGAAGTTTATTGGCCTGGTGTTTCATATTTTTGCTCGAACCCAACATCATTGGCAATCGCAGGCAAGAGTGAGCTTCAAAGCACAACGGGAAGAATGAGTCCCGCAACGGATCGGGGGGCGCCCCTCTATCACTTTTTCTCTCTATTCACCAAGTGGTAACAGGGAGGAAACTACTGTCTGAGAGACGTAAAAACATTCCCATAACCCAAAAAACTAGAGAAAGCAATAATTTGAGAAGGGATCTGTAGCGATCTGGTTGATGTGGTAGCTGTTAGACACCCAGACAGGTTTCCAACACTTATTGACTGACATCAAGGAACTGAGCGGAGAATGGGTTGTCTTGAACTCACCTAGGAAGTTACTGTAAAAATATCGGCAAATAGAACGAAACATTATTATTGTCTCATCGTTTCGTTGCATCAAGTGGGGTTTCGGCATTAAATACAATGAAGCCGCCAACAAAGTGGCCTTTTGTGACTCGCGAAGGTTCAGAATTGTCGGATGGTGACCACGTGATGCTCTCCGGGTAATAGATGCAGGTAAGATATGGTGACTCCTAAAAGAGTTCTGGTAAACAAAAGCTTTGGTCTTGACTCGAATTCGATGGCCTAAATAGCCTCGCATGAGAAAACACCGAAGATCAGCGTTCCACAAGGATGGACAAAGAGGTATGAGGTCGGATGTTAGGCGGTTTCTTATTGGGTAGGTAGTCGGTTCCGTTTCCGAGCCAGTCGAAATGTTTTCGACCAAGCATTTGAACAATAGTTCGAATTCCTTTTACTTCAAATACTTAGTAAGTGACATATAAAATCTATGTTCTTGGAGGAATGCCGCACTTTATTTCCAGAAATAATATTAAGGCCATGCTTGCCTTGTTTTTTCAAGGTCGTACGTCTTCGGAGTTTCAACAACATCAACTATTTCGCCGCATCGGTAGACAGGCACACCTTGACTGAGACCGATATTGATCCGCGCAAAGCAACCCTTCACGAGTTCCTGAGCAAAAAAAACAAAAGATGTCGACAGCACAAAGGTGATCGGGCTTGAAGACAATGCACGAATAAAGTTTCAGTGGGTAACTGAGACAACTAATAGCTTACACTGAAGAAAGAGCACTAAATCAAATAGAAGAATCTGAGGGTTGTGGCGGTTTCACGCGGTCAGGGAGCGGTGTGAATTGGGGAACTAACAGATTTGATGCAGTTGTTTCCGTTATCGGGAAGGCGTACTAACACAGGCAAAAGGAACTGAAAAGGTAATCTTCTGACTTCTTGTCGTCATCATCCAGTGATATCCCCGCTCCCAGACCAACTAACTGAAAGTCGAATCGGAGTCATAGCTAAGTAAAACCCTCTCCCACTTATCTGCAACCTATGCAGTGACAGAGTAAGAGTTAGTACATAAGCTAAACGTTATGTAAAACGCAGACAAACTAGTGGCCGCGTTTGCAAATTTACGGATAGAAAGCCATGATTGAAGGCCTCTACGCATTAATAACGATCTATGAGTAAAAGTCGTTCTCGAATATCTCTATGGGCTGGTGAAAC